TTCCCCCACCATTTCCCCCCTTCTTCTCCCCCTTGTTCCTCCGTCAAGTTCCTCCTAATCCTCCTATACGTGCAAACATATGATATTTGTCCTTCTCTGCCTGACTTATTTCACTCAGCATAACACCCTCAAGGTCCATCCATGTTGCTACACATGGCCAGAAATTCCTGTCTCTGTTACCTTCGCCATTGTCAACTCCAGGCATGTTAATGGAAGAGCCGCTGTTGCTGCCCCCGCTGGCCGAGTTCACCTGCTGCTCCAGGCGCTCCAGCTGAAAGACCAGAGAGTTCTTCTCTGTGCTGAGACTCTCCAGCATGGTCTGCTTCTGGATGAGAGTCTCTGTTAGCTGATGGAGTCGGTTTTCTAGCTCGGACTGACTGCTGCTGCTTAAAGTTTTATTAGTAAGCTGAAAGGCAAAGTGTTCATAAAATTATTATATAAAACTAAAGTTACACAATATTCCCACATGTAAAGTGTGGCAAGAATCAACTTCTCAAAACTCTACCATCCTTTCACTGCTACAGAAGAGATTTTCAACCTGTAGTATTGGGCCACAAACCCAGCTTGGCGGGGCCACATTGTAGGGGACAGAATACACAGCACACAGTATGTGAGAGTACTGTTTTGTGAAACTTCGGTTTCAACTGTGTATTTCTAAGTACACGTGAGTACTGAGAAACAATGTATACTTTACTTCTTACTATGGCCTCATGATCATAAATATTTGAAAGCACCGATCCATAATCCATGATCTATGATGCTGTTTGAACTTCTCAATCTGGATTCAAAACCCTCCACAACTCAGCAGCTGTGGTACAATGCAAAGACCACAGCATGAGGTTTTCAGCTCTGCTCTGCAGTTTCCTGGTGCTCTGGCTCTGGACGCCTCGCTACCCCGCACCATACGCGGTGTGCAGGGGCACGCTCACCGACTGCTCTTGTGGTGTAGTCAGCAGAGGTGCGTCCCACAGAAGTTTTAATTTGTGTTCCCTTGAGGCCTGATGGTTTTGAGCACCTACTTATGTGCTTATGTGGCCACTCACTTATGAGTGGTTGTTTCTTGGCAAGGTATTAAGACGCTGATTTCTTTTTAAAGCATATAAATCAACTTTCCTTTATGAGACAAAGATTTTCCTCTGCTCCACTTAGATGAAAATTTAAGAGATGGCCTCCTAAGGTGAATTCTTAATTAAGAAAAACAGCACAGTATCTTAAGGCTTAGTAAGCACTCAATAAACATTTAATAAATACAGGAATGTTTATCTAAGGATTAAACCAGTTTGGTGGTTTATGCTCCTTTCTTTGACTTTCTGCTAGTAAGTCATGTTGCCATTTAGGCACCTCACAAAGGCAGGTGAGGGAAGAATGGAACACTGAAATCAGCTGTTTCCAACTCTTTTTTTTTTTTTTTTATAGTTTATTTTTGAGACAGAGAGAGACAGAGCATGAGCAGGGGAGAGGCAGAGAGAGAGGGAGACACAGAATCTGAAGCAGGCTCCAGGCTCTGAGCTGGCTGTCAGCACAGAGCCTGACGCGGGGCTCAAACCCACAAACCGTGAGATCATGACCTGAGCCCAAGTAGGATGCTTAACTGACTGAGCCACCGAGGAACCCCTCCAACTGTTAAAAAAAAAATTTTTTTTTAATGTTTATTTATTTTGAGAGAGAGAGAGAGAGAGAGAGAGA